TCAGCAGGAGTGATTACGTTTAACGATAAATCCATAATTTAGCTGAGATTCTGCTTACGAAACTTATTCTGTGTTTACCTCGAACATTAAATATATACTCATTCGGAGGTGGGCCACTACTGAAATCGTTGGAGTAAAATACTTCTTCGCCATCCCAACTAAGTCATTTCTTACACGTTTATCTGCTTATCTGCTTATGATTTACTGTAATTTATTTTGCTTTGTTCTTTCTGTAATTCCGGAATTACCTTAATCGCACCATTATCGGCACAATGAAATCTTTACTATAAACTCATTACAACACCGCAAAAGAACTTAAGCAAACGATAAAATCATTTACTTACTATAAGTCAGACGGTGGTAGTTCGAAGGCGGAAAAGGACTGTGGTAATGCAATAAAATTGCAGCAAAGGCAGGAAATGCAACTAAGGAGATTGTAAAGCATTTTTACGCAGCTTGACTTTGTGGAGTTTGAGAAAATCAAAAGGAAAGTGGGTTTGCTAAGCAAAATGTCGAAACATATGTAAGTATGAAATCTTCTTATGTTTGTACACAGAAAAGAGTTTATACGAATAATGCATACATTTGTTTTTTTTTAGAAATACATATGGACAAATGCATAAATAAATATTTGCTGTAGTAAATAAAAGTTATTGCCCAATTAAAGTCAAATATGCACCAAAAACTTTTGCCTTAGAAGTTAAGGTAATTATTCCCCTCACATAGAAACCCTTGACACCATAAGCAAAAAATTTAGACAATCGACTTTCACAGACTTCCTCTGAGGCCAATTCTCCACCAGAAAAATTATTCGCCATAGACAGTAGCAGATAGTAAACACTTGGTGTGACTATAAAGTGAGTTTTTAAGGACCGCCCTCGATTTGTTAGAGAAGCATCAAGACACAAAAAACACAAATTTGAGGATCAGCTCGGGTGAAAATCCCTTCAGCGGTTATAAAGCGAAAATTATATATATATATATATCTATATATAAGAGTCTCCCAGACAAGCTATCGGAGTTCTTAGCCAGTCAATGTCTATGTCAGTAGTCAGACATTGCGCTAATAAGACACAATTCTTCTTCTGTTGCCAAAACTGGGAGCTTCTGGGCATTGGCATCCCTCAGACAGTTCAGCATCTTACAGAGAAGGTATAAAATCAAAGGATGATTCTTTGACAAACATACTAAATACATAGCAAATCTATTCTTGCGTCAATCCTTGTTTGGCGGCCGTTTCTGCCGGCTCACTGTGCTTCAATCATTAATGTTTTCATTCGATGTTGACCAGCATCTGCTTCGGATTTTGCAGATAGAAATTCGGTGCATGAAGAATTTTTTCGCCATTTCATGTTAATCAAGCTTCTTACAAGTTATTCCAAAACGTTTTTTGTGCAGTATTTAGCTTTTTGGCAATCGATATAGAGCTCACATGATAGTCAGACTCGGTGATTTCCATTAGTTCAACGACAGTGTGGACAAAATGATCTTCCCCACCGTGGTACAGCCTGCCATCAAAGTTATAGGAACGAACTCTTTAGTACAAAATACCATACTTTTATTGCCATTGGTGTTGAAAAAATAACGAATTCACACATACGAGTATGTATATCCCACATTACAAAGAGCATGTATCAATAGCCTATCAACGCCTAAGGTTATGCAATGTTTTACTCCCTTACCAAAGGCACTACATTTTCATCTTAAATTCTTACCAACCGACCTCTAATTTCAGCTAAAAAATAAGTCAACCCTTCTTCCACTAAATCGACAGAAATTCCTATCTGTATAAGTAGTCATAAGAGGCAAAATTCATATGTCGAAATCTGAAATGGTTGAGAGAAAAGTGAGTGCTGTTATCAATATTTTTTAAAATTAAAATTTAATGAAATAATTAAATTTAAAGGGGAATAAAATAATAAGAAATATAATATAAAAAAATTAAATTCAGTTAAATACATTTATATTATTGTAAATACAATTAGATTAAATGCTGCAATTTGAAATGATGAAAAATTAGAGAACAAAATTGGGGCTTGGAGTTTGTAACAGTGATAAATAAAATTTCAAAAACATTAAAAATCATGTTTTCAAAACAAAACAAAAAATAAAAAATTCATACTGTAACGTTTTCCAAAAATGTTGAAATATTTGTTGAATTATTATCTATGCCGCAGTGTTTATAAATAACGCCTCTGCGAGAAATTCGTCACTTGTGCTTTTTCACTCATTCAAATACTTAGCCTAAGCTAGCTCAATACTTTTAATTTAATTTTATGTCAAAACTGAAATAGAACCACAACGGCACTTCAGAAATTTTTTCAAAAGCATACAAATATACATATACCAAATCAGTCTAGTAATGAGATGAGTGACAGCGACACCCACAGCTATGCAGGTAAACGGAAGCCGTACGTGAGAGGAAAGGGAAAATTAATGTAAATGAGCAAAAAAACTATAGATAATTTTTCATACACCAAGCATACGAGTTGGAAATGGGAACTGAATCGTTGAATATACACAAGAGCCTGCATGAGAACACAGCAGAGAACTCTTCGCCTTTGAGCGAGGCGCTTTTGGAGACCGAGAGGGTGAACTCAACAGATAATTCAATGAATACTGACATAATCAACGAATAGCTATCGGACAATAATAACTCACACTACTACGATAAGTTAGGGGATTCTTGCGAAAATTTTGAGAATTTGCAATTGACTGAGAATAATTCCGAATATCAGCTGTCTAAATTAAACGAATTCATAATGTACAGTCAAATTATACAAGCAACCAATTTTTGAAATATTAGTTTGGATTTTCTCGATGAGTTAAAGGACCTAACCGTAGACGCTGTATCGACCAGCGTCAGTAATCCAGCAATAAATAATGGCAGCCATGCAGACTCAAATCAATGTATTGATTTTGAAATGTTAACTAGGGCGGCAGAACTTGAACGTTTTTAAAGTTTTTTGCTTTTTTTTTGTAATTTTATAGTGCTATTGTAGAAAATTTATGTGAAAACGTAATTCTTAAAGTTACAAAAACATTTAGTACCGTAAATAATTGTCTATCCGCGCAGCGTCTCTGTCGATACCCGAAAGGCATCTAAGGTAGATGGACGGACAGTCACGGCACACAGATCAGATTATTGGAAATTTGATTTGGACTCACAGATAGAAAAGCAAAAATGCGCAAAACTGCATAGAGCAGTTAGCCAGCGCCTAAAGCTATGCAAGGGTTTATGCAATTGCTACATCAACAAAACATCACTCACAGATAGTCTATTGGGTTACACATGCGTCAAGTACTGATTTATCCCAGGTAAGCAAATCGCTGAGATATATAAATGCGATGGTGTTTGCATTATCAAATCCACAAAGTGAAAAGTGGTATTTTATTGAGTAGTCTCTTTTTCCGTGGGCCACATTTTCCTCATCATCTTTGTAGTGTTTGACCACAATTTTCTTTATCGTTAAGGTAAAAAAATGCTCTACATAAAGTTATTATCGAATTTAAACTACCGCGAAGCTCATTAAGTAATTATGAAACCGCAAATAATTATCTAACAAGGACAACAAACAAAAAGTAAAACAAATCCAACCCCAATGAGTACAACCCACTCGCTCAAATTTAACTGCCCATTTTGGGCACGTACTCAAGTTGCAATTAAACAATTTATCAATTAATCAATGCAACGAAAAACCACAAACTTTTCACAAATTGCAACAAAACACACACACACACATACATATGTATTTACATATATGCACGTAGAGGAGCAATATAAAAGTAAATAATTGTTTTGCTGGAAAACAATAGATTTTTGTGGATATAAAAAGGAATTGCAAGCTTGGAAAAAGTATTGTTTTGTCGTTAAACAATTGAGCGGTCAGATAGAAGGAACAAATATATAAAAATTGTGTAATTTTATAGCAAAATTCACTAAAAGAACACAAAACATATTTTAAAAATTTGTTTATTTGATTAGAAAAATTAAAAAATAAAATAATAATAATAAAATTTAACTTATTTTTTTCTTAAAACAAAATAAATTATAATTTAAAAAATTAAATTAATTTAAAATATTAAAAAAAAATATTATTTATTAAAATAATTTAAAAAAATTTGATATATTAAAATTTTAAATTTCCTTTAAAATGCACTTTCGCATTTACAATATAAAAGATTATCTAATATATCCAGAGTTCGCCTTCAAATTGGGTTGCTTCGAACCATTCATTTGGAGTGGTAACCGTCATCGCCATCAGCAAACTGTTTCGTATCATCTCAAGAGTGTGATTTGTATATTCGATGCATCAACGGTGATCTGTCAGATATTTGCACTCGTTATTAGTTTGTTTGTGCCCCGTACAACTGCGGAGGCGGAGTTATATGAAGACAGTGAATCGAGAGTTTTTGAGGCAGTCGCCTTGATTTGTTACTTTGCTTGTGGATTTTATAAATTTTGGAATATTTTTTGGCGTCGAAACGATATCGGTCTTGTGTTGGAAGAATTGAAAAATCTATTTCCGAGTGTTTCCAAGCAGAAAATGCAGGCGGAAGCTAAAGCAAACAGTGGAGAGAAAAATGATGGTGAGTTGAAGAAACAAAAAATTACCGAAATTTCAATATTTTTTTAAAGAAAATATAATAAAAATTTGCATAAAATTTTAAGCGTGTGGCGACTCTCCTAGGCAGCATTTTCCTCTCTCTTTCCTCACCCCGTAATAATATAATTCTTTATCCCGATCAATTACAAAAATTTTAAGCTTTCAAGCAGGTGGCAACTCTATTCAAAAATTTTATCTGTTCAAACTCCTTAGTTTGATATCACATAAGAAAAATTAAATAATTATAAAATATTTTTTTTTTACCGCAAACTGTTCAAAATGTGGCAACCCTGTTCGAAAATATTTTCACTTTTTACTTTTTAAATGCTCTTTACTTTTTTGTTATTAATGCAATATTAGCTTAACATATAATTTTTAAAACTAACAATTTTTATAAAGCTGGCAACACTACAAAACAAAATTTTAGCATAAAGCCTTCTAATGCCCTTTAGTTTCATATCTCTACGGAATGTTTTTATGTTTTACAAAATTTTTTTGAATTAAAAATTTTAAGCAGTTGGCTACCCTTCCCAAGAGTTTGTTTTCAGCGCCACTCTTCTTTAATAATTTTAAAATGGTACTCATGCTACAATAATTAATTTATTCTCCTAATGCTACTCTCTTATTAAAGAAGTTATATTTAACTTATTTTGCCAACTCTTTTTAATTAAAAATGGATCGTAATTGGCAACCCTTCATATAAATACCTCCCATTCATCTTATTTAAAACACTTTCAGCTATCGCTTGCTACCGCTTGGCATACTATGAAGATAAATCACGCATTATGATGCAACGATTGACGCGCTACTTCATGTTCGCCTACTTTTACTACAATATCATACCGATACTACAACTTTTCGCCGAAGTGATTTCACATCAAGAAGTTATTACATTCAAATCTCAGTCGAATGCCTGGTATCCGTGGCACAATCATAATCACCATTCGACCTTTGTCGGTTTCGTCTTTTCTTTTCTCATACAAGCATCCGCGGAGTTTGCCGCTATTTCTTTTATTATGAGTGGTGAATTTCTATTTTGCTTCCTCAATACACAATTACAATTGCATTTCGATTATTTGACCGGTGCACTGAGCGCTTTGGATGCTCGTTCGCCGAATGCACTGTTGCATTTGAAGACGCTCATCAACTATCACAATCAGCTGTTGCGGTGAGTGGGGTTAGACCGAGCGCGATCAATATGAATTATATTGTAAAAAAAAACAATGTTTTATAATTTTAGTCTTTCGAAGCTCATCAATTCCATATTCAATTTCACATTCGCTTTGGATCTAATAACAACCACTTTTGCTATATCCCTCATGGGCTTGACTATGGTTATGGTGCGCTTCGGTCAGGCAGTAATGTTTTCAGCTGGATTTTCCTTCTTTCTTTTACTCGGTTTTTTATTCTGTAATAATGGCGATGAGCTTATAAATGCGGTAAGTAACACGTAGAAGGAAGAATTCGATCAAATATATATCAGACGATATGTTCTAAATTTATTTCATTTTTTTTTTTTTTAAAGAGTTAAATGTGTTTAATTTTAATTATTTTTTAATCCTAATTAATTTTATTTATTTCATTTTATTTTTTTATTTTTTCTAGCAATTTTATTTATTTTAATATACATTAATTTAATTAAGTTTAATTTTAATTAATTTCATTTAACACAATTTAATATAACTTAGTTAAAGTTAATTTAATTTGACTAATAGTAGATAAGTTTTGTTTACTTTTCTTTGTTTTATCTTATTTAAATTTTTTTTGTTTATATTTTAATTTGCCTTAATTTATTTATATATCTTATTTTTTTAAATTTAAATTTGCAAGTTTAACTTATAATTTTTTTGGAATTGTTTTAAATTAATGTTTTAAATTGATTTTATTGTATTTAATTTTGTTTTGTGTTTTTATTTAATTTTATTTTATTTTATTTTATTTTATTTTATTTTATTTTATTTTATTTTATTTTATTTTATTTTATTTTTTTTATTTTATTGTAGTTTAGTTTAGTTTACTTTATTTTATTTTATTTTATTTTAATTTATTTTATATATATAATGTTTTTCAATTAATTTTTTTTAATTTTTATTTTTTTATTTTATTTTTATAAGTAAATTTGATTTCTTTTTATTTGATTTTATTTTGTTTTGGCTTCCTTTATTCAATTTCAAATTTTTTATTTTATTTAATATTTTAATATTAATTATTTAATCGACCTTTCTTTTATTTTAAATTGCAAACATTTCCATTTAATTTTTTTAACTTTAGCTTATTTGATTTTTTTTAGCTTATCGGTTTTCGTTTTATTTTATTTTTATTCATTTCATTTTATTTAATTTTATTTAATTTTATTTAATTTTATGTAATTTAATTTAATTTGTTTTTATTCTTTTAGTTTATTTATATTTATTATGTACGTTTTTATCTTCTTTCTTTGTATTTAATTTTGTTATTATTTGTCTTATTTCATTTTATTATATTTAATAATAGTCTTTTCTTCTATTTGTTTAGATTATTTCAATTTTTTATATTTTTTATTTCGTTTGATGACACTATATCTTTATAAATTTTCTTGCCTCTCTTTATAGACTAAAAATTTAGGCGCTGCTATTTTCTATAGCAACTGGTATGAGGGATCTAGCGAATACCGTCGCATGATTATCTTTTTTATTATGCGCACCAAAACGCCTTGTGAATATCGTGCTTTCGGCTACATGTCGCTCTCAATGGAGACCTACATGAGGGTAAAAATATTAATTTTTGTTCTGATTTATTTCTCGTCGTTTTCATTTCTTCGTTTTCATTTTCAGATTTTAAAATTATCATATCAACTATTCACTTCTTTTCGCGCCATTGAGTAGGCAACTGGCGAATGATTTACTTAAAACACGTTTTAGTTTCGAATTAGTTTAGAATATATATTCTAATACAATTTAAGTAGTTATGTAGTGAAGGCTTTTACTAATAAAATAGCATTTCCTGCTTCTTTGTTAGTATTTACATATAAGAACTAAATACTAATTTCCGATATTTGTTTGATGGATGGAAAAACTATATTAAAAGCTTCAGCATATAAACGAGAAAGCACGATGCAGCACTCTCAAGTAAATGCACGAATAATGACTGAAACAAAAACTGGCGAGTCCATACATGTTAACACATATATTTATACATATATTTTTCAAAACTGAAAATAGTTATTAGTTTTATATAATTCTATTGTGAATAGGGTGGGTCCAGGTGAATTATACGTTTAACGTTAAATACTGATTATTAAATCAAAACAGTTTACTCCTTTGCTATTTCATAATAAGTTCATTTTTTTCATAGCAACTAAATTTCCGTTAAACGCAAATTATTATTTTTAAGTATTTTTTCTTTCCCAAGACTTGAACTACCAATTCACTTATGTGCATATGTACATACTTTGTTGCTGGTAATAACTGTGTGACATAATATTCCTGTATATGAGAGCAGAGGTAAGTATTATGCCAAATAAGTGGGCGAGAATAATGGTAAAAGGAATATTTGAACGAAAATTATTAAATTAAATTGCCTACGAATTAAAGTAAGCAATTTGGCTCATTAAGGAAATTTCAATGTCAATGCAAACTTTAAGGATTATATAAACGGGGAAATTCAAAATTTTAAACTAATTTCTCTCCACTCGTCTGCTGTTATTTTCTTAAAAAAAAAAATGAAAATGTCTGGAGTTTTCAGCATGAATCACTTTTTAAAATACCCCAACTTTACTTTGGATCTCGCTTGGTCCAATCCGTTTGCCTGGAGTGGTGCACGACAGTATGGCTATCATATGCTATGGATTCGGCGTCTACTTTTCACTTTTGGTGCTGCAAATTTGGTTTATCAAAACTTTGGTATGATGATCTATCTCTGCATGCCACACGAAGTTAGTAATGAGTCCACCATTGGGCAGATAACGGAAACTGGTGGCATAATGGGTTTGACAATGGTTGGTGCTTCGAATATGTTTGTCATGTATTGGCATGCTGACCGTATCGCTTTGCTATTGGAGAAGTTTCAGCGTTTATTTCCAACAAAGCAACTGCAGTGGCGAGCAAAGCATGCAAACGGACGTCTAAGAGGTGGTAAGTACTCGTATACTTCAAAATCAGTAAACCTTTAATGAGCGATTACTCTCCCGCTTTAGTAAAATTTCCACATAGCGTCGAGTACTTTGCGTTGAAATCCAATAAACTCATGAAAATCGCCACCACCGCTTATCTCTTCGCATTCTCGTACTACAATTCTTTACCAATAGTAGAGTATCTGTATGAGTCGCTTACGCCCGGTGTAGAGTTGAAGTATCACTATCAGTCCAATACATGGTATCCTTGGCAAAATGCGCACAACCGAAAATCCTTTATTGCCTTCCTGGCCGCTTACATATGCCAGGTGCAGTCTTCGTTGACGGGTGTCGCCTTTATCATGGCTGCTGAATTTATGCTTTGCTTTTTCATTACACAATTGCAAATGCATTTCGATTATTTAGCCAATGCATTGGAGACAATTGACGCTGCGGGCGAAAATGCCAATGAGGAGTTGAAATTTTTAATTCATCACCATGGTCGGCTACTGAGGTGAGTTTGAGTGTGATTCAATAGTTTGACTTTAGCTTTATCGTTTTTTTCTTCACCACAGCTATTCCAAGGAGATTAACGCCATATTCAATATTTCATTTCTTGTGAATATTTTCACTTCGTCCATAGCAATCTGTTTGATGGGCTTCTCGATGGTGATGATTAGCGTAATTCATGCATGCAAATATTGCATCGGTTTACTTTCGTTTATAGTTTTCACATTTTTCATTTGCTACACAGGCAAGGAGTTAACCGACGCGGTGAGTTTTACATCTTACTTGTACAGATAAGCCGAGGGCTGTACTATAGATATTGGATTAATTGAATTTTTCAATGAATTTATCGAAAAAATATAAATCACTTTTTCATTTCTTATATCGATTCGGCGGAACAATGTGCCAGACAATCTTCAAAAAAAAAGGCAAACCTTCAAATCAACTAAAGGTTTTTGTTTCTGTTTATATATTCAGAGCGATAAACTTCTGTATGCCGCTTTCTATGGCAATTGGTACGAGGGTGACTTGGCTTATCGGAAAATGATATTATTCCTCATTATGCGCTGTCGCATACCAACAGTATTAAGAGCATATAAATTCACCACAGTTTCAATGCCCACATTCACAGCGGTATATAAACAATAAAAATGATATCTACATATAAAAAATTTTCTTTTAATATTTCCAGATTTTGCGATCATCATACAGTTTGTTTACATTTTTCCAAGCCATGGGAAAATAAGAAGTGGTGACCTTGAATTTGCGCTGTCTTGATTAAAATTAAGATAAATGAATTCCAAATATTTCAAATTAATGAAGAGAAATCCTTTTAGATATATTCATTCAAAAAAAAAAAAAAAAAAAAANAAAACAGAAAGAAAGAAAATAAAATAATTAGAATAAAATATAATAGAAAAGCAAAATTAAATAAAAGAAAACATTTAAAAAATTTCAATAATATAAAACACAATGAAAAAATTATACATTAAAGAACAAAGAAATATAAAATAATATATTTTAATTAAAATTAATAAAACTAGAGTAAAATTAAATAAAAAATGAATTAATTAATTAAAATAAGGTAAAATAAAATAAAAGAATTAAAACAAAATAAGATAGAAAAAAAAATAAAATAATATATAGCTAAATTAAATAAAGTTATATAAAATAAAAAAATAATAAAACAAAACAAAATAAAGTATAATAAAATAAAATAAATTAAAATAATGCAGGATAAAAAACTAGAAAAAAGTAAATAAATAAGATAGTAAATTATAATAAAATAAAATAAAATAAAATAAAACAGAAAGAAGATAAAATAAAAAATAGCAATATAACAAAAAATAAATAAAGCTAAATAATATAAGCTAAAAAAAAAAAACTAAATATAATAAGATAAGATAAAACAAAATAAAAAATTAAACAAAAAAAATTAAAATGAAGTGATATTAAAAAATTAAATAAAATAAAAATATAACATAAAATAAAAGTAAACAAAAAAATTAAAAAAAGTTAAATAGTTTGAAATTTAACGTAATTAAATGAATTTAAATTAAACTGTTTATTTTAAGCCACGGTTTTTAGGATCATTTTACATTTTATTACAAAAGTACTCTGGTCTATCGAATGTTAGTACGCTAACTGCTCGGCTATTGCAGCCGCCGCTGTAAGAAAGTGTATTAAAATAACAAAATTAGTCGGAAAATTAAGTTTTTTGAAGTTAATAACAAACCTGCGCAAATAAATCATCAGAAAATACCGTATTGTTATTTTAATATACTTTCAGGCCTTAATTGACTGAAAAATATATAAGCTGGAATAAGTGTCAGGATCAGCTTAGATGATCATAAGCTTCTTTTTGCCGCTTGCACTATTAATTTTGTTTTAAGTTAGTTTTCAGTTAATTAACGCCTGAAAGTATGCAATTTTTCTAAGCAAATTATTAACCACACCAACAAGGAGATAGCAGCTAATAGTTGTTGTTGGTTAATAGTGAAATAAATAACACAATAATATATCAGATGGCTGATGTTGGCTCATTTGTTGTTGAAAATATCGATCGTGGTTGGCTTTGTAATTTAATTCGTAATAGTCAACCCACATGTAAGATCAACCCTTAAATACGTTTTTCTCGAATAGATCAACTCCTGGTCCATTTTTTTTAAATTTTAATCCGTAGAAAATTAAGTTAATAATAATTTTGGCAGGGAATGTCGACCCCTCCGGTTGTATTTCTGACAGGAAATAAAGGCTCCTCATAAAAAAAACCTTAAGCTGTACGGAGGCGGCTAAGGTCCCTCAATTTGTAGGAAAATCATCAAGATGCACGCTGATTCTCCCAAAGCAAAAAAGCCATGCTCAGCCTAAAGTTTTGAATTATTAAGAAGCATAGTAGACAAATTACTTACTGAACACGAGGCATAATGAAGCGGAAAATCACAGCAGGCCTATCCCAGAGATCCGTATTGGGACCTATCCTATGGAACATCATAACATACAATGAAGTGCGGCGGCTATCGGTTATCTAATTCACCTAGTTTAAGCAAAGTGCTCAGTGACCAGACGTGCTATTAAAGCTTTCTTTGCCGTTTTGGTCGACAACAATTTAGCGCTTATTAAATGCATGCTGGAAAGAGAAGATGCTTCAATCCGAGCTAGCAGCTTTGCAGTAGAAATAATGCAGCATTTACAATAAAACGAGCAGCAGAGGTGAAGGCGCGACGGATACATATGTTGACCAGAAATCTTATGTACCAAGGATATATAGACGAGTATTGAAACCGAGACGGTTGGAAATTGACGACGACAGACAATATCTACTCAAACTTTAGTTCAATAGTTAGGTCCACCGTCAACCTGATGAGATACTGAAAGGTAGTACCAGGAGTTAACGTACGGGTGAGAGTGCTTTTGGTGGCTTAAAGTTTCACAGTGAGGAGGTTATGGCTTTCGATTCTTTCGATGCTCTAAAAATAAACCAAAACAAGATTAAAAAAGGATCAAGCATACATACATTCACTGGTGATCTAAGTAGTGATACTTTATTCCATAGTCTTTCTTGGACAGATCACGCGTAAGTCTTGTTATCGCTGTACTCTATTTGCTCTTGAAAAGTTCATAGAGGATCCTATGTTTTCTAGCCCAGTTTTATTCATCGATGAGGCCCACTTGTGACTCATTTGGTATGTAAACAAGCAAAGTTTCCGCATTTTAGAAGAAGAACATCCTGAAGAGTTTCAAGAGCTGCCATTTTATACAAAAGAAATATTGGTTTGTTGTGATTCGTGGGCAGGTGAAATTAACGGTGCATATGTAAACATCAATGGCGACCGTTATCGCGACATGATACCCTATTAATTGTTGTCTGAAATTGGTGCTTGTGATTTTGGCAACATTTGGTTTCAACCAGACGGCGGCGCTTCCCACAAATCACTTCGGTGAGCAGATAATTTCAAGCTAGACTTTTTCCTGTAGAGATATGTAAAGTCTAAAGTCTATGCGGAAGATTCGACTTCGATTCAGGCCATGGAATAAAACATCACTCGTGTCATTCGCCAGTTACCAGTCGAAATGCTCGAACGAGCCATCGATAATTGGACTCAACAGATGGGTCAACATTTGAAAGAGACAGTCTTCAAAAATAATTGTCAAAGACAAAGAATGATTTGTATTAAAAAAATTTCAGCTTTGTTGATTACTGAAATGTTCTCAGCTGTTTAATTGAGTGCCTGTGTGAACAGCTTTAAAGGTTAATTTTCCAGTTATTTCAGTAAAATTTGACCAGAAAGAATAATATGAAAATATTTATTTAAGAGATGTCAATTTTTGTTATTTCTGAAACTTTAATTTTTCTGGTTGTTGAGTTTTGAGTTTGCTTTGAAATATTTTTAATTTTTATTTTAAAAATAATAAGTTTTTAAGTTTAAGTTATTGTTTATTTTAATAAAAATTTAGGAAATCAATTACAATTTTTATAAATAAAAAAAGGAAAAGAGTGTCTGTATAATATGTTTGAAAAAATTTTTAGGCTGCTAAATATTATCTTTCTTTATTTTTATTATTTTGTTTTCAAATAAAAATAAAAATAAAATGAAACCAAAAAATGGGTAAATCAGGTCTAAGATTACACTGTGCGTGCTGAAGACTTTTTAACTGCCTCTGGATAGATTTATATTTCATGTCCGAAATATATGGAGTTGACTCTTCTTGGATCAAGACTCAACCCCTGGCCTTCCCAATGGTAGTACTGCTAACCGCTCGGCTACTGCGGTTCTTCATACCCAACAGAATTTGTAATTTATTAATAGAATTATGTGAGTATAAGTAAACATCAGACTTATGTACAACTAAGCTTAAAAAATTGTCTTATGTACATATATATGTATGTATTTATATAAGAAATAGATTAGAGATAACTGTAGTCCTTTTACATATTTATGTAGTTGTAATATAAATTTTCCCTAATTATTTTCTCGACTTCGCTATTTGTATCCGAATAATTTTGGTAGACATTTTCCAACTGATTGGAAATATTATTCAGCTGATCGAGAAAGGCTATATCTCTTTCTTCCTTTGTTTCTATCTGGTTTTCCAATTGTAATTCGCACGTGTTGACCAACATGGTTTCGAATCCATCGGTTGATATATTGCTTTCGCCTACGTCCGTTTCGTCTAAATTCAACGGTGTCTCATTTAAGTGCAAAATTTGATCCTTTTTACTTTTCTTTTCCGGCTCCTTCTTCCCCATTGCATCAGCCTTTTCCATCTTGCTACTTTTGCGCTTTTGTGCTCGTTTGCATTTACTATCAGAGGCTTTCAAAACGGCCGATGATTGCATGGCCTCTGTTTGCTTTTTTCTACTAGTAACGGTTTCACATTTAGAACTTTTGACTTCTTCTTCAAACATGTCCAAAACGGATGGTAGTTTCATAGCCTCATCCTCGTGCCTGGAAGAGTCTTGAATAGTTGGATCGTTCGACGTACTGCACGACGCTCCATCATCACAATTTGGTGGTAAATTATTTGTAGCGATGTTCTCGGAACTGCGTCGTTGTGGTTTCTTTTTGCACTCATTGGATTTTGACAAGTTCTCAGGCTCTTTCGTGCAATCACTTACGCTCTTAGCCGTCTGCTTAAGGTCCTCCACGTCACCTACAGAATTACGGTAACGATTTCGAATTTGATTGAATATACCATATTTGGAATATTTTGAGTTAAAGTCATTTTTTTTGCGGCTGTTGAGCTCTCTGTTATGTAAGTATCTAGAATACCGTGAAGTTGACATTGCCGTTGCTAATATTACAAAAATATATATGCAGTAAAGGTCATCGAAGTGCACAGGCAGTTGGTGGCTTTAAAATGAAAAGCTCATGCGTTGCAACTCCCTTTTATAATAGCTCGAGCAGGCACTTAATAAAATAATACATATAAAAAACTAAAAAATTATATTATTTTATTTAATTCAATTAATTTATTTTATTTTATTACTTTTGTATAATTTTTATTACATTTAATTTAATTTTATTTCATCCTTTTTATTTTATCATATATTATTTAACTTTTTCAGTTCAATTTATTCTCTTTTATATTATTTTATTTTATTTTATTTACTCCAAATTTTTTATTTAATTTATTTTATTTTATTTAAATTTTTTCCAATTTGTTCTGTATTATTTTATTTACTTCATTTATTATTTTTGTTTCTTTCATTTTATTTTATTTTATTGTAAATAATATATTTTATTGTAACTAAGATAATTTTACTTAAGTCAGTTTATTTAATGTACTATAACTTATTTTAATTTAGTACAATCGAATTGA